TCTCGCTGTGCAGCTCTGCCCTCCCACAGGCCCCCTGACCCTTTTGGGGTCTCTGAACTAAGGTCTTTATGACAGGGGGCTGAGAGAGCCCCTGTGCATGGGGCTGGGGCTGTGAGGAGAAACCTTTCCTTTCCTCCGTGCAGTAATTAGCCAAGATCCGAGAGTACTGAGGAATGGGGTTTAAATGGGATTTAATGAAAATACCAGTGTGGCAGAGAGCTCTGCTGTGGCATGGGCTGCACCTCCTGCCATTGGGCATGAGGCTCCTCTGCCCATCGGGAAGGACCACAGCATGGCCAGCAGTGGCCATCCCACTGCAGGGCGGCCCGGGGGGGTCAGCATGGGGGTCTGCCCACCACACTCTGGTCCTTCACTGCCTTTGAATCCCAAAGACCCATAATTTCCTTATGATTTTCAATCCAATTTGCTTTAACGCGGTATGGTGAGAGTTGCAGAATTACTCAATATTGATCACAGAAAGGCTGGGCCATGGCGACAAGATCCATGTTGCTATGTGTGGCTTAGCAACATATAAATGTATTCAAACAGAATAATGAAATTATCGTGGGGAAACAAAGCAGCCATCACTTGAAGAGATGGAGGATGTGGAGGCCTCTTGGAGCTCTTGTTTGCCAAGACAAGGAAGATGGCACTTATTGTTTGTGCAAATATGTGAGCCCCCCCGGTCAGCCCCTGCTTACATAAAGGGTGTAATGAATCCGGGCAGCGCTCGCTGCAATGCGCAGCTTTGTACAGCTCATTACTGCGGAAACGCGCGGCCTCTCCGGGTGCATTCAGTCCTTGCAGGGAGGAGCCCCAATACTGGGGGATGAGGTGGGGCAGGGAGGGAACCACAGCCATGCTGTAAACCCCCTCATTTCTGGGATTCTGAAGCTTTTTATCCACCCTCATCCTCACGATGTCAATGCACAGCTGGGGAGCCCATCCTTGTCTCCCCCACAGACCCCTTGGCTGCCTCTGGCACTGGGACCAGTGTGATGCCCACAGCTGGAGCAGAGACCAGGGGGCTCCCACTCCAGACCCAGCACAGCTTCACTGGGAAATTGCCATCACCTGAGCCCCAAATATCCCACCAGTATCAGGGTGCAGCACCCTCCCACTCCCAGCTCCCCTTGGGGCTGTGGGGCAGAAGGGTTCCTCCCAGGTCTCTGCATGAGCCTCTGCTGCTGGTACCTCATGATCATCATTATGGCCAGCTACAAATCTTCAAATAATGATACCTGGGGCAAAATATGTCTCTTTTCAAGAAATGATTTTGGGAACTGGAAAGTTTTTCGAGAAAACAGAGGAGGGGACGTGGTGTCTGTGCCAAAGCGATTCGTCTCTTGTCCATCATTGCACACACAGGTTTATGGTTTGCATTTATCCCCGGAGCTACACAGCACTTTGCTGTTGAACAAGCTGTGCAGACGGGTGCCTGAGCTGCCCCAGGGTCTTCCCAGCATTGCTACAGCTGGGCATTAACGCCTTTCAGTTTTTTCATTTTTTAATGGCTGGAAGCACTTGGCTTAGAGCCTGGTGCCTTGGTGCAGCCGGCACCGGTGCGGTGCCGCACACCGGCTTGCACGTACACAAATGTGCAGGGGAGGGCTCTTCTGGTTCAAAGAGATCGTCTCGCTCACCCCCGGCTGAGGGGCTGCCCTGCTGAGGGCTCCTTTGCCCCGGCACTGTGCTCGGTGCTCGGAGAGGGTGGCCGAGGCACTGCCCTGCACACATTGCCCACTTCCACGGCACCGAGCACAGCCCCGTGTTCCCATCGTCCTCCAGGCAGATCTGGACTTGTGAAAAATAAATCGAGGAAATGTAAAAATGTACCTGAGGAAACAAAACCAAACTAAAGAACCCGCCTCTTTGCACAGCTGGAATTGAATTGTACATCTGGCTGGGTTAAAGTGGTGGTGGGGACAGAGCACAAGCACAGGGGGTGGGTGTAGGTCTTGCTGTCCCGGGGACCCTGCTCCTACGCCTGCAATGCTGCAGTACATCTATGCCCAGATGCCACTGTTTCTGCCTCGCTCACGTGTCCGCTGTGGGGAGGAAAGCTGCGATGCTTCTGGGCAGCATCATCTCGAAAAGACCCTAAGCATGCCCCGCTTAGACACTTAACGCGGAGCAAAATCAGAAACCTGCTAATGCATCGCTTCCCTCGACAAATGAAAATGTAACAATGCAGGAAAAACACCAACCTGTCCCCAGTGCTTCTTCACTGCACTCTCTGCTGGAGTGAACCCATCCAGCCTGCACCGAGTGTGCTGGGAGCGCTCAGCAGCGCTTGGTAACAAAAATAAAGTGAAATACGCTACACACGTAGCCAGGGAGCTGGCACAGGGGTCTGTGCCGGCCTCTGGCCAGGTTTGGGGCTTAGGAGGGATTTCTGGCTTTAATTCTACCCACCTCCATGATAACATTGGCCTTTCTACAACCTGAAACAGAGGACGCTAAATGGCTGCTTTTAAGCTCCTAAATCCAGCCCTGTCTGAACACCCCAGCTTCCCTTCTTTGGGGACAAGTCACTCCTAACACTTGCCAGCGCTTCCTGGTTTAAAATACCCTGTTCAGGGGGACACAGATTCCCCAACAGCCTGGCCAGGACCACAGCCACCAGGCCAGTTTGGAAATAAAGCACTTCCTAAAACCTGAGCAAAAACTACCAGCACTCCACCACGCAGCCACAGAAACCAGTACTGGCAGTAACGAAAATCAAAGAAAATGCTGTAGGCAAGTGTTACCTGAGGATTTGAACGCTGTCAGCTCCACAGCCTGAAAAAGGGGAGAACATTTGTTAGCAGCAGGCACAGGGCTGATGGCTTTGCTGATGGCAGCCCCTGCTGCCACCCTGCATGTCCCCTCCCACCGGACTCTTTATCCCAGAGCCTTCATCCTGGTCCCCGAGGGTGGGCACAGCCCTGGGCAGCAAGGGGGTGAGGTATCACCATCCACACACCCTCACTGGGTCCCCTCCAGTTTGGGGTGACTCCATGGGCTGGACATGGTGCTGAGAACCACAGCAAAACCCAGGGGAAGAGAAGTTTCCCCCCATGCTGTGGTGGAAAGAGCACGCAGGAGCCTGCGCCCTGCGCCTCAGCAGTGGTTGATGCTCCATGAGGTGTGAAATTCCTGCTCCCAGCCCAAGAGCAGTAAACAACACGAAACCACGTTTTAAAAAAGCTGAAACACAAAGAACATCTCCTCTGTGTTTGTATCTCCACTCACTCAGTGTTTTGTCATTTTAAGTGTTTTCAAACGGTTTTAAGTAGCATCTTCTCTTCATCCAAACCATTGTGCAGCTGCCAGTGACATTCTTAAATTCCCGCTCTGCGGCCGAGCGCTGTGATTCATTTAGCCAAGGAGCGGGGAAAACAGCACTGCTTACATAATGAATGGCACCGAAAACTGCACCCATCGTCAAGGGTGGCACCCATGGGGCACAGCTGTGCCCAGCACCCCTGTGGTGAGGAGGGGACTCAAACAGACACCACCCCATCCCGCTCGGCACCGATGCGGAGGGTGCACCTTTGTTGCATCAGCGTTAGTTTTAGAAAGGAAAGGACACTGAAAATGCGAGGTTTAAGCTGCAGCGATACAGCAAAGCCCTCGGTGACCCTCACACAGAGGAAAGTGATTTCTGGCTCTGCCCACTAGGAAATGCCATGGCCTTGGCATTTGGGAGATGCGCTGCCTCCTAACCCGCCTGGCCTTCGGAAACTCAGCCCCTGGGCTAATCCCTCTGTCCCACGTCTGGTAGCTGGTGCCAGGGGCTCAGCACTGGTCCCGGTTTGCATGGGCAGCACCTGCCTGGCTGTGAAAAGCATCACCTGCAAAGGGATCTGGGTCGGTGCTCAGCACGAGGGGAGGATGGCATTAACCACAATATAAATCATGAGAGATGGAAATACAGATTTTATGGAGTGGCTTCAAAACGATATGCCAGCTATAGAAGTATTATCTATTGGATAAATAAGAGCTGTCTATGTGACACAGGTTTTCAAAGGATAAATATCAGAGAGGGAGAGAGAGATCCTTCAGTGAGAGCCTCATATGAAAGTAGTGTTGGATTTTATTCTGAGGAAATTACAGCACTTGTATATCAAGTGCACGAGGACTGATGATCATTTCAATAGTGGGAGATGGAAGTGGTAGCAGAGTAGTCAAATTTAAATTGGTCCCTGCTTTAGGCCATACCTTGCTGAGCTCTGCATCCACTCCTGCAGGCAGCACGTCCCTGCCTGCCCGACCTGGACCAATGCAGCCCGTCCAGGGACAGCAGCTCCTCACTGCCCCATTTCAATTTGCTGTCCCTGGCCTGATCCATACCAACCTCCTGCTTTCCTGTCTCAAATTCACTCAGCTGCATCTGGCTTGGCTACCAGAAGCAGCCACTATGGCCACAAAAACACGCTTCTCAAATGATTTAAATTACTTCATACGCTGCTAATAACCAGTGCTTATTTTAATGAATCAGCTTCTTCAGGTCATGCGTCTGGACAAGCCCTGGCGAGGAGAGCATGGACACCATGGTCCCTCACCGACACTCGGCAGCTTCGGCAGCACCCTGGGACAGAGGGGACCACGATGCCCTCAGCCTGTGCATGGGGTGCACAAGTCAGGCAGCTTCTCACTCAACCTATAACACCAAATTTGTACCCCTCGCTGTGCCCATCAGACACCGCTCCTATGTAACTACCACACTTTGCATGTGTGAAGGTGGAAGAACAACAGAAGACACCACTTACCGGTCTCTCGGGTGACATAATGGATGAAATCCCCACAGGAATTTTGGCTCCAAAATTTCCTAGGGGGCAAAACAGCACAGTGAGTTTGGGGCTTAGAGAGCAGAAACAGTCATGCTTTACCAAGAGCTCGGTGCTTCATGTCCCTCAAGTATCTCCCACCAAAGCAAAAAGAGACTACACAGGTTACCTGCAACACTGAACCCACAAACTGGTCGGAGCATGCAACACCTTTTTGCCAGAAGCTAAAACCCCTATTTCCTATTGCCACTTTCACCTCCCTTTCTCCAGAAAATTCATTTTAAGACACAAACATGGATTCTTGACTCAAGAGAATGTGATGCTGTGTAATACGGTGATGAGACCCCTGTGCCCCTGCCCAGCCTGCAGACATGGACCTTAGCCCCTGAAATCCACAGGGTCCCTGTCTTCCTGGGAATCCTCCATTCCAACCCCACAGTGTGCAAACGAGCTAACGTGGTGCCACGTGAACCTGCACTGAAATTCAGGCCTTGGAAATGTCATTTTCCTGCGGTTCCATCGCAACCTGGGCCAGCAGCTTCACCTTTGCTGCTGATGTTCTTCATGGGAGGGTCCTGCCCAGGGCTCGACAAGGCTCCCTCAGCTGCAGAAGGACTCAGTTTCCCCGTCTCCCAGGAGATGGTGTTTCTGGGACTTGATAAGTAGTTGGTGGGAGGGGAGCAGTTCTGTAAGGACAGGGCAGAGACACAGGACAGTGAAAACTGCAACGTGCACCCAGGGCCCTCCTCTGGGTCCGTGATGGACCATGTGGGCACCAGGGCTTCCTTGACACTTACTGTGGACGAGAGGGCTTTCTTCTTGTTCTTCATCCTCTGGATGGCATCCCTCACCTGCGGCAGAGCAAGGACATCAGAGAGGGGCCACAGCAGCTCCAGCAGAGCAAGAGATCCCCAGAAAGTCACGGAGAAACAGCAATGGCTGCCCAGAAGCACTGTCGGGGCTGTGCTGCCTGTTGGACCTCCTACAACTCCAGCTACTCCCGGATCTGCTGATAATGAGTTGTTGTGACGAGTGACCAAGCCCCAGCCAGGAACATCTCTTACCTCGCTGTTGTAGATGGCATAGACCAGGAAGATGTACAGGCCCTGGAAAGAGAGAGCACAGGAGAGGCTGAGGTGCAGCTGCTTTGTGCTGCTTTGCCTGGGAGGAAATGAGTTTGATGAACACTGGGATGGGCGAGGAGCTGGCTGAAGCGGAAGAGTCACAGCAGGGACAGCTGGACAGGAAGGACCTTTCTTAAAATGACCCCTGAGATCAGGCTCTTCACAGAGACCACAGAGGAGCGATGGTCCCTGTCCTGGTTCTTCTTCCTTCTCCTCTCCCCCCATTTCATTTGGGGGGGAGTGGGCATCTCTCACTGGGCACCCAAAGCTCTCCCATGCTCCCGTTTACTTGTGCATATAAAATCCCCCAGGAAACACCTCCTTCAGATCTCAGGAGCAGAAAACACCAGGAATTAATTGCTTGGGGAACTGAAATGTGGGAAGCAGACCTCTCCTCCCACTAGGCACTGACCCTGGGGGGGTTTTCGCCAGCCTCCTGCAGACCAAGAGCAGCGTGATGGTGGAGACAGTTCCTCTGTCCCCTGCAGTGACACCACAGCATTAATAGGACCCTCTGAACCAAACCCAGTGGGGTATGGACCCAGAGGCTTTGCTCAGCCCAATTTGGGCAGTCCTTCCTGCCAGGGCTCCGCCAGCGCTGCCCCCACTCACTGAACCCCTGCTGTCACAAGACCAAGGAGCCATGCCAGCTCTGCCACAGCACAGCCACACACCTGGGGCCGCTGCGGGATGTGCTCAGGGAAAGCATTGGGGCAGCACTGGAGCCAGCATTGCCTGGAGGCCACAGCCCAGGGCTAATTACAGCTCCAGACCAGCGATTCTGGCCTTACGGCAGCCCTATCTGGCCCACCAGATTTATGTTATATCTGTGGGGTGTTTGTTATCACTGCTAGATAAATCAGCTGCGGCAAGAGAAGCAATCCATCTTGTCTTCAATGGGCCTTGCTCCTCATCTGCAAGCTCTTGGCAGGCGCGGTGGTAGCAGCACCCTGGCGCCGTGCCCTGACCTGTCCTTCAGCCAGCGATGCCGGGCACTCCCCCGGACCAGATTTCTGCTCAGGCTGCCAAGGCAGGTCTTCTTTGAAATAATCATTCTGGATGAGCGCGGGGACGCGGGGGCAGCAGTGAGGAGGGGGGCAAGGAAGGAGAGGAGGCCCAGCTGCAGCGAGGAAGTGGAGTCGCTCCTGTGCTCCTGCCCATGCTCCTGCCTGCAATGCCCTGGCTCCGCATCTCCCTGCTCATGGTGAGGTAGGCGAGAGCACAGCTCGTGTGATGGATGCTCCTGCCTGGCGTCCATCCGTCCAGTGACCGTGTCCTGCCGCGCTCTGCACACCCCAGTGGGGAGCAGCGCATTGTTCTGTCCCCCTCTCACTGGTGAGGGGCTCTGTGAGCCCTGAGCCAGCCTCAGGACCCCTCCAGCTCCTTCAAATGAAGCGCTCGGGTTTGATCCATGCTGTTTCCTAACCCAGCGTTGGGCAGGGTGCTGGTGCTGCTACCTCCGAAATGGTGGCCACCACAGCCATAGCACCGCTCCGTGTTGCTTTTTCGGTGGAATTCCCGTGCTGCCTGGCTGGAGAAAGAGTTGTCATGTTTGGTGTCGACGCACAGAGTAACCTTGAAGCCTGGCTTCGGTTTCCGCAGATAAACAGCGAGCAGTCAGACAAACAAATAGCTGCGGCAGCAAAACTCCCCTGCGCAGGACTCGCATGAGGAGGAGCACCCTGGCCTCACCGGCAACCCCAAGGCAAGCTGTAAGGTGGCCACCAAAGGGGCTGGAATGGGGCAGCTTTGTCCCTGCTTTCTCCCAACTCCACAGCTTCCCATTTCTCCTCTGGGGTAATTCGCACATCGACCTGAGCTTGGTGATGAAGGGGCAGAGGCAAATAAGCACAGCATATTCATGGGCAAACCATCGACTGTACACACAACAGCTGTGGCTCCTACTGAGCTTTGGGAGAAAGAGGGAAAACAAAAGCAGGGATAACTAAGAAAGCAAGGCAAGAAAACAAATCCTGACCCAGAGAACACCTCAGCTCCTATCTCACCCAAGGTGGACGTTGCCATGGTTTGTGAGAGTCTCAGATGTATCCTCCAGAGGCCACATTTATTAATCTCAGGGGTTATTCCTTGTCTCTCAAAACCCCCATAACACACCCATGTCAGGACAGCCAGCACCCCACAGCCCCGCTGCGGGCACCAGCGATGAATCAAAGGCTGCGAGCCATGGGCACGGCCACCGTCAGGCCACAGTGAGGGCTGTTAGCGGTCACCAACCTCACTCAACAACCTAAGCATGGCAGTAGGAGGCAAGGAGAGCTGATGCTGTACTTAATTACAGCCACCCCTCTGATATCCTTCACAGGGAGATGCGGAGAGGCGGCCCTCGTCTGACCTTGGCATGTCCCCATCCGAGAGCCGGCGGATGTGCGTGAGCAGCGCCCGGCTGCTGGCCCCGCTCCAGCCGCAGCCAGAACATCCCCGGAGCAACCACCCATCGCGTGCATGTGGTGATAACGCCCGTGGCTCACCCTTGGAGAGCTGGGCCACTGCTGCGCTGAGCCCGCCAAGTGTGCCAGAGGGAAGCATCACAGGCTGCTGGTCCACAAGTGAGAGCTGCAGCGGGAGCCGATTTCTACTGAATCCAAAGAAAAAAGGGAGATGGAGGTGAAGAACTTTGGATCCAAATGGTCTGGAGGGCAGCACCCAGTTGCTCTCTTGACTTGGATGCCCCAGAGCAGGATTCGTCCTCAAGCACTGGGTAAGGGACTCCAAAAAATGTGAATATCCCATGCAAGGGGACAGGAGTGACTGTGTGGGTGTCCCTGGTGTGATCTGTACAGTCTGAGCCCCAGGGCTGAACTGAGTCCATGTGTGCCCCCTCGGCTCCCTCCTTGCAGAGTCTCACTGTTGCCCTGGGACCATTCCCTCCTGCAGCCAGAGGGGTTCAATGCTTCTCTGGCTCCACCTACAGCTGCCTTCTGCTTCCTCTCCAGGGTCAGAAAGCTTCTGCCAGCACCGGGGATGATGCTATGAAGCGCAGGTGGCCAGCACATGTTCTGGGCCTTACTGTCACCATGTCCCTCAGTTTGAGGTGTCTCAGTGCAGAGCTGAACACTCCTGGCTGCTGCGACTGACACCATTGGCTTTGCTCTCTTAAGCACACACAGGATACCTAAAGCTTTAAACTCTTTTGATGAAACCCATAAACTTAGAGGCAAATATTGCTTTACACGCTCGGGTTATTTTCTGTCCCGTAAAGATCCCTGTTAATGCTAACATATTAACAACATGACTCTGAAGGATGGTAGCATTCAGGAGCCACAGCCATGGCCCTGGAAGACACCAAGACAAGCAACAGCCTTAAAAATGCAGCCAGATGCTGCGTGAAGAAGAATTAAGAGGCTGAAGGAGATGCCATAACTCACCCAAGGTCTTGCAAATCAGAGCTGGAAACAGCACATACATGTCCAGCCCACATCACAATCTGTTCCAACACTCCTGTCCCCCATCACATCCCAGTGCACCCCTCACTAGGCACTGAGAGCATCCCTGGGGAGTGGCTGTACTGCTGTAGACAATACAGATTTTAGGGGTCAGGATTTTCAACCCTTGACTCTTCATTTTTCCACCTGCAATAAAGCTGACTTCCAGGTGGTTTTGCCTGTACAGTTCTTGGGACATAGCCTCTAAGTACCTATGGACAGGAGCTAGATGAAAAACACCCATCCAAGAACATGCACTGTCTAAACACCATCAAGCACACTGTGGCTGGAAGTGACCTCTGAGATGCTCTCCGTGCACAGCCCAATTCCAGCACGCACGGCCCATCCCTACCCTGTGGCAATGGGCTCGGGCAGCAGCTGGGATGTCTGCCCCATTAAACCGGACAGCTACCATTTTAATTATCTATTAAATGACCAAATCAAAACTCTAACAAAGTTCCCTACAAGCGTGTCACTTTGGAAGTGTTATTTTGAAACCATGCTAATGTCAGAAAACCTGAGAAACAAGATTTGAACTGGAAAGCTGTGGCACCACTGAGTCACTCCAGAGACCAGTGCTGAAGGGCCACCAGATGAAGGAGGTCTCCAGGGCTGTATTTCATATCTTGGGAGCATGAAGTTCGTTTCCTCAGATGAAACTGCCCAGGAAGCTGCAGGTTACCTGTTCAGCCATGTTGTGAGGATCTGCCCCACTGGACTCACCTGCAGCGAGTTCAGGACAATGAAGACGTAGGCCCAAATGATGCTGAGGTGGACAAGGACCCCGCACACCCAGGTCAGCCCCAGCACTGGCAGCAGCACCAGGACTGGCTTGGCTGTGGCCCTGTTGGGAAGAAGAGCTCAGAGTTAAATGGGTGCATTTCAAACTCTGTGCACTGGCACCCATCTCCAGCCACCACCTCCCTGTGGGGGCCCTCTTGTGCCCCACGTCCCTGAGCCTGGGGTGTCCTGGCACAGTGCCCCAGGCCACCAAACATCCTTCCTAGCTCTACAAACCCTGCCCAGGGCCTGGCCATGACCCGCCTGGGGCATCTGCACTGGGTCACAGAGCACAGTAGTGGGTCTGCCCTGGAGACACCTCTACACATTTAGGAGCACCCTGACCCCTACCCTGCAGTTTAGGAGAAACGTCCCTTGTCTCCATGCTGGAGACAGCTCTTCTACCCCCGCACGTGCCTTTCAGACTACGTGTCCAGCAAGAGGCACCCAAGGTGGTAGCTACGGAACAAATTCCTTTGAAAACACAATTAGTTAAGAGGCGAAAAAATCCAAACATTTCCCCTCCTGGCCCCCAGCATGCCAGCCCTGCTCTTCGTTTATCACTGAGTTTGCAAGAAAGGAGCTCTTTGACATAATTAGCCATAAGAAAACAGCTATTTTGCCCCAATTGCTGCTACAAGGAGAGCTTCTGTATTTGTTTTATTAGCATATGGATGTCACTCTGCCCTCCAGCAATGCCCTATCTTCATGCTTCTATAAATTTGGGAAAATTTATTTATGGTACAGAAGAACAACGCGTGTCTAGCAGGGGAATCCGGCGCCAGCTAACAACAATAAAGATTCACAGAGGATGATAAAGTAATGACTCAGGCAGCAGCTTTTTAGAGGTCTTCCTATATTGACTGAAGTCCATACCACCTCTACTTCCCCACCTGTGTAGCCCCCACAAGTGCTACTTTCAACCTATGAAGTCTCAAAGATATGTAGAAACTGCTTTTTATAATGCACATAGCCCAGATCCCTGTGCTCTCCGCATCCAGGCGGCTTAATGGGGGTTTGGCACCGTGACCAATGGTCTCACACATGTTATCACCACTGTTGACCACGGGGATGTGCTCACACCAGCCATCCCCAGACCCAAAATCCTGCTCCTGCTGATGTCAACAGGATCAGGGTAGCTTGGATTTCAGCCCAGAGTCTCCTGTCCCAAAGTGCTGAGGACCAGAAGGGCGAGTGCTGATGTGGGAGTGCAGCACTGGGCTGAAAGTGTCAGCTGGGCTTCTCATGGCATGAACACCAGAGCAGACAGCCAGTATTTGGGTGGAGAAGAGAACCCTTTCTGCCTGGATGCTCCCAACTCACAGTCTTTCACTTCGCTGAGGCAAAAACTCTCAACTTAACAGCAATTCCACCATTTCATACCCATGAGAGAACCAGACACTTCCCACTCACCATATCTGGGCTACGATATGGTTCTCCTGGCTGTTGCTGGGCGTCAACATCTTTGCTCTCCCCCGAGTGCTGGACACGGTCACCACCACCACCCGGCAGAGCACGACGGTGTTCACCTGCCAGAGGAGAGATGTTCATCCCAAATCCCATAGAGTGAGACCTTTCTGCTGGGAACTCAATAACCGAGTGTCAGATCTTGGGGAGAAATATTTCAAAAAGCAGAGAGGGAAATACTTCACCGAGCTATCCACACAAGCACTAAATCTATAAAACTTACCTCAAAAATGTCTTCCCTGTTAAGTGTCTATTCTAGACCCCTTAAACATCACACCTTTTTCTGCTACTGTGTTGTCTAATGACACTGATACTACTTCAAGTACGCAGATGTTCCCATGTTAAAATCAGACCTTCAGTTAAGGTAACGTCACCATCAACTTACACATTTATCTACATTCCTAACTTAACAGCCAGTACATGAACTGGCCAGCAATATTTTCTCAAAGCACTTTTTGCTATAAAAAAGCTGCTTTGGTTAAAGAAATCTATTTGTGTTATGAAAGTATATATGAGGCATAACAAAAATTCTCCTATAAAAGCAGCAGGCACAAGGAGCTGTGCAGCAAGGACCTCAGCTAGAGCAGTACTGACACTCCTGAGGATGCTTTCCCAAAACCAGACACGAAGCGATCACACCTTCCCGTTGGGTTTTGGCACTTACGGCCAGGATGAAGAGGACAGGCCCCACGAAGGCCCAGATGACGTTGGCCTGCGCGTTCAGCCAGCAGTGGTTGTCTGCCACATACTTGTTAAAGGAAGTGGCGAGGGTCACACCCACGATAACAACTGGAAGGCCTGCAGAAAGAGAAAAAAGCTCAAATTAAAGCCCAGGAAAGCCGAGGTGGCCCATGCAGCTCTGCTGTGCTCCAGACAATGGTTTCAAATCCCCACGGCCAGACACACTCCAGCGTGAGCAGCTTAGCCCCTGAAACCCCACGAGCAACATCAATTTACTGCAGCTGAGATCTGTCCCGCTCCGCAAGCCCAGATTTATTCGCTGTCAGCATCACTCGGCTGGGTATAAAGCATCCCAAGTCCCAAGTCCTGATCAAAGCAATTTACTTCTCAGATTGCTTTTTTAACAAAATGGACAACCAAAGACATAAAACAATCCAAAATATTTGAAGCAGTTTTCTAGTCCAAACGGCTGTGTGTTTTGCAAGGACCGCTGATCTGAAGAGGCTCCGCTTGGATATAAACCCAGGTTATTCACATGAATTCTGCGTCCCTAAAGGCTTCACTCAGAGTAAAGGTGCTTAGTCCAGACCATATTTATATTTTGATTACTATCAGACAGTATTAGTGCTCTCCAAGAACAAGAACTTACTATAAACTTTCTTATAACTTTTTTTTAAAACATTGAACTCTTGGTTTTAGAAAAAGAACAGAAACGCTTTTTAACTCATATTCTAAGACTGGCAATTTGACACATAAAGCCTCTGCAGAGCAGTGGTCCTGGGCTCACATACTGAACCAAACCAAACGTTATGGAATCGTTCCTACTGAAACTTTTGCTGGAGAAAAAATGGGCATTTTTTGAGTGTCCAGTGCAGAGGAAGGTGTAGGTACCCCAGCCTGTCATGTAGTAGAACTTCATCCTCCTGTCTTCACTTATGTTGACGGCCACCACTTTGCTCCACAGAAGAAGCCCCTCCACCAGCATCCAGGAGAAGGCTGCCATGAAGAAGAGATGCAGGAAGGCAGTGATGGTGAAACACACGACCTGGGAGGAGAGAAACCACCGTCGTTACCAGAGGAGTCCTCTGGGAGCTTCTGGGCATGTGCGGAGGGGAAAAACCTGCAAATTACACTGCAGAATGGGCAGAAATGTATCTAAACACCCACAAGCATCAGGAAGAGCTCCTAAAATTGCAATGCATGAGTAGTCCAACTGCTGCAGCTCACTCTTGTCTCATCTGTATGCCCATCTCAGACCACAGATGAGGGACCTGGCAGTGTCTTTTCCTGCTGTTTTTGGGCTTTCCTTGGAGGTCTCATCTGAGAGCTGCTGGATCCAGCCCCGGGATGTGAGAGAGGACACAGAAAGGGGCAGAACTGTATGGTGCTGTTTTATAACTACTTATAGTTCCTGTAGGACTGTTTTTTTTATGGTCAGAAACAAACTGTCAGAAAAACAAGGTGAATTTTGCTGACAGGCTGCACAATGCAGATCTCCAAACACATAGACACAATTCTTTCCCAGAGGCAAGTTACAGGTAATTAATGAAATGTCACTAAAAGGGATTACACTGTTCAGTTTGCTCTGACCACGACGTGCATGCAGGCCTGAGGGCTGCCAGGCGCTGCTGGCTGAGCAGGGCATTTTTTGGTGACCTTACCTTGTTGGACTTGGCCAACTCGCTGAACACAAGCAGAGCTTCTGCTGCTGCCAACGCAAAGATCAGGTTCTTGTGCACGGTTGTGCGTTCGCTCTCGGGGACACTTAGGAAGGAGAGAGGAGAGCCTCAGCTGCCTTTGAATGAAAGGGACCATCCCACTGGTCCAGACTGGGCTGTGCAGACTGGCCTGGGTGACCTGCGAGCTCTGCTGCTCACTGCAAAGACCAAGGAGGCAGGGGATGGCCCTGCTTTGTCAGTGCTTGGTGCCGGGGTACGGCTGCTCCAAGGGTCAGGCAGCAAGAGGAGGGCAGGTAGCTATGGCCCTGCTGACAGGGCATAACGCTGCTTGCCAAGTGGCACAGAAGTGTTGGCACTTGGGGAAAAAGGCTTTGCTCCATTTATTTTAGAAAAAATAACCCAAGCAGAGCAGCTTTTGCAGTGAATATTATTAGTCATTGATTAAAATATTTTCCACTCAGGGTGTGTACAGCCCATGCAGGCACCTCCACGAAAACAAGCACTGCACCCCTTCCCCAAGCCAGTGACCACCGCTCTCTCTCCCTTCCCTCTGCTGCTGATCACCACCGCAGAGCGCCGCAGCACCTCCCCACGCCCCCGTGTCACCCCACGCCGACACGGACACCTCTGTGTGCTTGTTCTGAGGCAAAATACCAAACAGGAAATACTGTTCAGGCTGCAAGTGTCTGGGCTTTTCTTACCCAACTGCCAGGAATAAAATGAAGGTGATGATCAGGGCACAGAAGGAAACTCCACATCCAATAAAAGTCAAGGTCTGCAGTGTGAGCTCCTCCTTGGTGCTCCTCTGCTCCGGTCATGAAACACCAGAAGACACAAATTAATCCCCCACATATAATTAACAGCCCCAAATTAAGGCTGCTGGCAAATCTGGCATCCACCCCACAGAGCAGCTCCTCACTTACCTGTACCTCATACACCTGCAGTAGGACAGCAAAATTCGTGGTGTGGTTGCAGAAGCAGCCAGTGGAGTCTGGGAGAGACGTCATGACAGAGCAGCCGGCTGTGGACCACATCCCACCAGCATCTGGGCTGACGTGCGGCAAAAAAAACCCAGAGAAAACACATGGAAATTACCATCCACTGGAATAGAAAGCCAAGGCGTTAAGGGAATTTCATTCTTCCAGAAAAAGCTGAGTAGAAAGGAGGAAGAAGAGACTATCAGAGATGGGTCTATGTATGGACTTCACTTTGGCTCATCCTCTGTCTCAGCAGATTTGCATTACCCATGAGTCATGCACAGGAAAACAGGCCTGGTGTCAAGGTTTGCATTAAAAAGCATGGTTTGCCCATCACTGCTTTAAACACAACTCGGAGTCTGCCCAGCACCCAGAGAGGACCAAATCCAGCCCAGGACCTGTGGAAATGTTGTGCCATAACCAGCTGCTTCCAAAAACTCCCTCTTCGCACCTTCCCCAAACTGGTCCATGCCTGTTACAAGACTGAGACTCCAAGGGGGGTTTTTTTGCACTTGAATGACTTAATTACCAATCCATAATATATCACAGTCTCGGTCTCAGTGTGCTCACTGCAGTGACATTCAGCAAAAACACACCGCAGTGCCAAGCAGTATTTATGAGGCGGGGAGTCCTACATGTCTGTGGGGCTGTATATCTTGGACCAACCCTTCTGTGCTGCAGGCAACAATCATAATTAACCGGGGCTTTCCATTTTAGTTGTATATACCTCATTAAAGGTCACTTGCTCGTGAGTGGCTTTTCCTAAGGAAATCTTCCCAGGAGAGCACTCTACTCCAGCAGATAGGGGATGCCAGCAGGCAAAGCAGGCAAAGAATTAGAGATCCCTACTCTTACCATTACATTTATATGGTTATGTTTGGCTTTCCAGTGGAAATAAAAGCTCATAAACCTGGGGACGTGAACTGAGACAAGGCACCTGAGGCTGAAGTTCCAGAAGGCACAGATGGGCCCCACCAGCTCATTGGACAGGTCCTGCAGGCAGAGGGGGAGAAGAAGAGATTACACAGTCTGATGTACGACGTACAGCACCCTGTATGCAGCCCGATGTGATTCACTCGCTGGGATGCAGCAAGGTCTGTCAGCAGAGGACAAACTGGACCCATGGCAAGAGACAGGGGCATGGGACACCCCTGAGTCCAAGAGCACTGGAGGTCATGAGCCCAGGCTGGGCACAGCCCATGGATCCGGCTGCGTGGTGCCGGGGTACAGAACCCTGTGTGGGATGTGCAGTGTACCTGGATGCGGTGCTGCAGGCGGTACTGCACGGAGGTGCTGATTTCCTGCTGGTCGCTGAGCAGAGCAGTCGAGATCACAGCAGTGCCCACGGCGGTGCTCAGGTACCTGCTGGGGAAAGCATGCGGCTCACAGGCATGGGAACTACCAGATGTGCTAGGAAACAGGATCACACATTGTACAGGCTGGAGAGATCCCAAGCCACCTCGGGAGTGCTTCAGTGCCACTAGCAAAGGGCCCGGGCACAGGGAGAAACAGAGACTGATCAGGGTGGGAAAGGACCTCTGGAGACCACCCAGTCCAACCCCTGCTGGAGCAGGGTCACCCAGAGGAGATCACCCAGGAACATGTCCAGGGATTTGAACATTTCCAGAGAAGGAGACTCCACAACCTCTGGGCAGCCTGGTCCAGGGCTGTCATCCTCACATAAAGAAGTTTTTCCTTTTAAGTTGAACCTTCTGTGTCCCAGTTTGTGACCACTGCCCCTTGTCCTGTTGCTGGGCACCACTGAGAAGAGTCTGGTCCCATCCTCCTGTTCCCCGCCCATCAGGTATTGATAAGCATCAGCGAGATCCCCAAGTACCTCAGATCACCCGGCAAACAGAAATCACCATCATCCCCTGTAACTGCGGAAGAGACCGCACAGCCAAGGCATCGCAGCATCCCTAGGGCTGGCAGCCGAGCAGCCACGGCCAAGGCCCAGCGGCGGCGCGGTGCGGCTGTGGTGCGGTGGTGGCCGGGATGCGTGGGCTGCCATCCCCACCTAGTGTTCGGCTCCCCGGAGAGCAGCAGGGCTCTGCCTGCCGCCCCACTCCACCAGCGCCATCGGCACAGCACCCTGCTCCAGCAGCTCCTACTCTGGCCACAGAGGACAGTGCCGCAGCCCCAACCCACCCCAGATACCCCAGGGAACCAGAGGAACCCCAAAGAGATGCCGCGGGGCATCATGCATGCAGGCAGTCCCACTGCACGGCTCAGCCGAGGCATGCCAAGGGCCTCCATCCCCAGAGCACACTGAATGGGAGCCCTTTTCCATTGTCCGGTCTCCACATGCACATAGTAGGATGCAGGGACAAGGACTAATGGGGTGGGATGGAGCAGGGAGGAGGCGACCTCAAAATAGAGGTACTGAGACACTCAGTGCAGACTTGAAATGAATTATCCTGTGGTGCTCAGGGGCAGCCCTGGGCTGCAGGAGGGTCCTGTTTCACTCACTTCTGTTCCCCATCAGAGGCAGCCGGGTCCTGGAAGTCTATGTTGCTGCCAGGGCCAGACAGGAAGCGCTGCAGGGAGCCGTAGCCGAACCACATGTTCCTCACCGTGACTCTGAGGAGACCTGGAGGGACAGAGCATCGCGGGAGGGTGCAGGCACACAGGGCGGCTCTGAGCAGACCAAAATTGGGCACCGCTGCCCTCATCCAGGGTGTGATACTGGGGGCCCAGGGCACCCACAGCTCCAAGCTGTGCCTGTAGGGAGGCCATGGATCACCTTTCCCCCACGGCCCATCTCCCTTCACCAAAGGCATCTCCTCCCCATGCACCTCTGTCTACAAGGTGAAGAGCTCATACTGTTGAGGAAGGCTCTGCAGAAGTTCCAAAGGGAGGCCCAGGGAAGCACAGGGGTCATCACTCACCTCTGGCTTTCAGCCTTTGCATTTCTTCTGCGGGAACTTCGATGAAGTCACCCCTGCCTTTCTCAGGGCTCTGGACCAGGTAAGCCTCACTGCTCACCTCCTGCCTGCCCAGCTCCAGCTCCTTGACCTCCAGCCCTGGGGGGTAAAACCAGGTCCTGAGCCAGGGCTCAGCCTCCCTCCAGAGCTTCTGCCACAGCAAAGTGCCACAGGGACATTATAACCTTGGCCAAGACCCACAGCAGCAGCAGAGAGGTCTCTTTTGGTGTGACTGGGCCCAGTTTGTACCCTGCACTCAAAGGTTTCCTACAATCTTCTTACAACCCATCACGTGAGAGGTGCCCCCACACTGCAACATGTGTGCATGGAGGAAATGGGGAGAAGGCTGCAGGGTTAGGAAGGAAGTGCCAGAGGACGAGAGGTGCCGGGAGTGGATTTGGACTGGGAACCAGATGGGATGGCCACGCTGGTCCCAGTGGGATGCCCTGTCCCAGCTCTCCCAGTGCCACTTACCCACATTCCCGTGCTGGATGGTGATCTTTGTCCTCTCCATGGTCAGCAGTGGGGCCATCTGTGACACCATCCTGTTGCAGAGTTCCACAACAGCCATGGGCCCTCTGATGACCTGCAGACATGGGGAGAGCAGTGGAGATCAGCGCCTGCACCGCCAGCTCACTCTGCCCACCACCCACAAGAGTTTTCTGAAAAGCTTGGTCCTTGGCAGGAAAAGAGAAGTTGGGACTCAAGGCTTTGCCTCTCTTTGATTTCTTCACTAAAGGATGTTCCTGGTTCCTTCAACAAGGAGATGAGACTGGCACTGAGAGAAACTTGTTGGACTTTATAAAAAGCCATTAAAACAACATGGAAATAAATAATTAAATAAGCTTCTGGAAAGAACTTTTAGACCTGACTCCTGATTTTCGCAAAGCTGTAGAACAACTTCCTGGGAAAGGTTTCACCCAGAAACGGAGCCCAGTGTTGAAAGGGTACTGGGTGACTGGGCCCATCACTCACAGTCCTGCCTGTGCTGGGCAGCACAAGAGCCGCCACTGCCACACACAAACCCAAACCCTTTCTCCCTCAGCAGGCACCGCTGCACCACTGGTTTTGTGCCACTGTCGAGAAGCTGTGAGTAATTGTGGCCATGGAGACCTAAGTGATGAGGTAAACTCTGAACTATTCAGCATCCTTTCATCGCTGGAGGACCCTGGCTCGACTCCTGGAGTGCTGGCCAGGCCAGGCGCTGCCACACATTTCCCAGACACAGGTGGAGACTGCAGACCGTCCAACAGACACAAAAGACCCATGTGAGAAGAGAAGAAGCTAATGGAGAAAACCTTAACGGGGGTGGGATGATGGAAATCCCTCACACAAAGCCTGATGGGGGTTTGAGCAGCGTGGGGGGCTGATGACAGATACCTCCTTGGCAGCTCACCCATGGAAAATAAAACAAACAACAAAAGGGAAGGGTATTGCACTGCCAGAGCCTGCGGGATGGGGGAGCAAAGAATATACAAAGCACCAGGAATCTGCAAACTGTGTCATCCCGTAAATCCTGAGACAACCACTGGAAGGGTTTGCAAGGAAGCCACCACTCAACTGCATTTGTAAGCAGAAGAATTTGTTTGCACCTCCAGCAGATGAGGCAACAGTAAGGCAGCTGGCCCTCATCTGAGCTGCCAAAGAGGCCACATGCCCATGCCTGCAGCATTTCCACAAACTTCAGAATACGGCCAGAAAGGCTCGATGTGACCGTGCAAGCACAGGTCCTCAGCCTGTGGTGTCACAGCAGGCCGAGGACCTGCACACACAAGATGAACAGATGTGGCACACCGTTACCTGGCTGATCAATGACCACGTCTCAATATTCTGCTCTTCCAAGATTAACTCGATCACTTCCATGAAATACTGGCTCAACTGCTCCAACAGCGCCAGCTCCTCTCCCTTCTGGACTTCCAGATTAGAAGCTTGCTTTAGCAGTTGAAGCACCACAAGGAGGTTGGACGACTCCAGCATGAGCACCTCTTCCTCCCTCAGGACAGTCGCCAAGACATTGAGAGCAGCAACAGCAACGGAGAGGTTCATGTCGCGGATATCCCTTGTGAAGACGCTCTCGGGAATCTGCCATGAAAAAGATGTTGTATTTTGGTGTGCAGCCCTGATTCTGCCCAGCTCTGCTGTGGCAATGCCCTGCGTGCCCTTGCTGGTGTGAAGGCACCTGGCCTGGCTGACCAGGCACATTTAGGGGAAGGATCTGCCTTGACACTTTGAACTCCGTTCTCTCAGCAAGAGCAGTCAACCTGAAGCAACACCTGGCGTGTTTGAGCACAGCGTGGTTTACAGTTGTGTTGGCTGCACTCCGACAGCAGCTCAGAAGGGGCCACAGGCACAACTGTTCCAGAGTGACCCCCAACAGCCACAGGTGCCAGCGAGCCCACCCCACCCCACCCCACCAGCTCTGCCCACCCTGGCATCTGAAGGGGCCACAGGGCTCACCAGCATCTTCTCCGCCAGTGTGTTGACGCGGTCGGCAAGCGTCTGACGGGATCCCAACTCAGCTTTCTTCAGCTGCCAGTATGCATCTGAGGATAAAACAAAAGCACAACCATTGCTGCAGTGTCAACAGCGTGGTTAGCACCATGTTCAGGGTGTGGGGAATGGTCCTCACATGGTGGGCAAGTCTGTAGGACAGGCAAGACAAGGAGACTTCATAGCTGTGTTTTATTTCTGGTACAAGACCCCATCTGGAGAGACAGCCTAACACTTCTACTTCGTCTCCTCCCCCTGTCCCCAAGTCTAGAGATGCCTGGACTGGGAGGCTCTCTACAGTAATGTGTACAACCACCACTTCACTGGAGAACAGCAAAATAACCCATGGGAGCACATGCAACCAAAGCAAAGTCCCAGCCACAGCAGGCTTTGCATGCCATCTCAGACATGAGGCCTTCCCCACCACTGGCCATCATCCTAGCTAGGACCTCCAGGAGTGAATGCTGTGGAAGTAATACATAAATAAATCACAGATGCTGTACCCTTTCTGTAGCGACAGATGAAAGGCAAAGGCTGCAGACAAGATGTGTAGCTGAATCTGCTGCTGCCAACTTCGAAAATGATCAACAGGCCCTGTGGAAACACAGACAAACAGACAGCCCAGGTCCCCAGACATGTCATCCCAGCAGGTAACCCTCATCCTGCAAGCCACCCACAAACCCCGCTGAAGACAAAAGCTGTGCCCTGCTCCTTAAGCAGCCACAGAGCAGAGCAGGGACCGGGCTCAGAAATGGCTCCTGACCCGTCTGGTGATCCCTCTCCAGAAGGGACTCAGAGGAGGCAGCAGTGTCAGGTCCCAGATTCGTGATTTATCAGCAATGTCACACTGGGCTGGTTGAGAGACAGACCCCTCCTCCCAGCAGAGCATGAAGCGCCGGGCGTGCAGACTCCAGGAAGCAGTGTCACTGACAATCAGACTCTTCTCTCAGCAGAGAGAAAGACTGCAATTAGCCCAGGCCATCTGAACTGTTGCCTCTGCTTGGATCATTGCAGGGGTCTTCGACAACTGAGGGTTTAGTGATGGCTCTGCCTTTAACTATGATTTCGGAACTGCCCAGCCCCGCAGGAGAAGCATCATCCCACAGACTGCATCAGATTCCCTCTCTGGGGATAGGACTGGCTTTTGGGACCGTCCCCGTGTGCTGGCCCCAACTGTGTTGAGGGCAATGAGCCTCACCTGGGCAAAGGAACTGGGCGGTCACTTCCTGCACGCTGCTTTCAACCTCCAGAGCATTTGGGCTCCACCCAAAGACAAGGTCTTGCTCCACCACCCGGCACGACCGGACTTTCTCAACCTGCTCTGCGCCGAGGACTTTCCGCCAGATGTGCAGGTCGGTGATGTTCCCACTGAAGGACTCTTTCTCCTTGAAGGTGCCTCCCAGGGAGTCTTGGTCCTGCCCGATAATAAATGTCCCCTGGCCGTAGATGGCCTGGGGGGCAGACGGCCCCGCCGCACACAACCCACTGGCAGACGCCCTCCTTTTCCCATCGGCGTAGATGGCCCAGGTCCCATTTTCCTGCTGCCATGTCACGCAGAAGTGATGCCACTGTCTGTCAGCACGAAACATGGGCAGGTACGGGGAATGGTGCCCGTGGATTATGAGAGCAAAGCGAACAAAGCCTTCCTCATCCACAACACCGCGGAGCTGAAACTCATTAATAAAAGCTGGCACAGCATAGGAGAAGATGGTAGCGACCTCCTGCGACCTGGTGTCCCACTGGAGGTGGGCGCAGGCTGTGACCGCAGGCAGCGCTGGGAACTCAGAGAGCACCTTCACGTATTTTGTGTCTGTTTTGTCACCGAACACCAGGACAGGCACAATGTGGTCCCCTAGAAGGAGAAATTTCAGCCAGCATAAAGAAAGAAGCATGGGCCAAAGCCTGCTCTTCTTCCACTGGGCTGAAAACATCATTTTCATGTGCCTCCTGCT